AAATTCTTTACAATTCATTAAGCAAACAAATATTCCCACGACAAACGAGAGTCAATATTTTGAAATTGCAACAAAAACAACAACAAAAAAAAAAAAAAAACAAAAAAAAAACAAAACAAAAAACAATAAAAAACAAACAAACAAACAAATTATATGTATGTTTTTCTTAGAATGGACAGTTTTTTTTTTTTGTTTTTTTTTTCGCTATATCAGGTTTACTGTGTTATGATAGCTATTACAAAGATTGAGTCAAGGATTCCTAGAGAACTAGAACAAAAATTACTAGTTATAGGGTGAAGTAATGTCTTCTTAAAAAACATGGCATCCAAAAATGTCAATCTTTCTCTTTATTTGCTGGGAAGAAAACACTCAAATGAAATATGAATGATGTTTGTGTTAAAATTATTGATATTTATATTTAGTCATGAAATGAGGTTTGCAAATGAAGATGGGAATCAATTTATTTCCACTCGCAGAAGACCAATAATTATGAAATCAGAATTAAAAAAATGTCGCAATGTCAATTTCAATTTCTAAGAAGGGAATCACTTCATCAAGTTTAAAAGATTGATTTATAAAATGCCAAGGGTTTTTACAGTGGAGAACCGCGCCATTTACATATGGCAGAATACCAATAACCATGATATAATCCAAAATATTACATTTATTACTCTTTGAGAAGTGAATATCTTGCATCATATAACATGACATCCATGTTAAAGATGATTATAAACTTATTAAGTCATGGCACGGGTTTACACAGATGGCAACATCAATTATAAAAGATCCAACACTGCCATTTTTAAAATTTCATTTTATGAGCAAATATTTTTCAACTTTGTTTTTCTTTATTCTTGAAATAAGGTCAACTTTAGGAAGATGAAAAAAAGATTGCCACTGCAATGCCACTGCAAATCCACAAACGTCAATCTTTAATTCTATTGCATTTAACATATATGTCCAAAGTAAAAAATTTCTTTACTCTTGGAATAAGGTTTCTATAAATAATAATCAATGCCATTAGTTTTGACCCTATGTTTTGAAACGATCCTGAAATATTAATCTTGTATCTCATACGAAAAGCAATCCCAAACATTTTAACATCAAAATTTTAACATCTTTTCTTATTGACTTAAACGAGGAAGACAGAAAGTAACTCGTTCAACTCTCTTGGTTCTATTTCCTCAAGGTTTTGATCCACATTTTGGTCCTCGGGTATTCAGTATTCAGTCAAGTGAGCCAGGTCTCTTTTAGTCTTACATAATTTGTCTTTTTGTTTTCTTGGTTCTGAATTAATTCTAAGATTGCACATTGAACAGCGCAAAACGACTCGCCATTGCGTTGGCTACAAAACTACGAAAAACAAAAATAGAAAAAGAAAAAAAAAAGAAAGAAAAAAAACACGCAAATTTGTATTTTGCGTGAAGCCTTTCAAATGTCAAAATTTCACAATGTCACGTTTTCTGGTTGGTTGCTTTAGTCAATTCTCAATTATGATTGCTTATATATTTTTCACATGTGAAAATAAGGCTATGCGCGACGATGATTGTCGTATTGCCTTTTTCACAAGTGAAATATGAAAAAGCATAGATATTTTTATAACATAAATTTACTTTATGGAATTCTAGTAATATTTATAATAAATCGATGTATATATTTGTCACATTTAGAGAACGAACGTCCTGGAAAGGAAAACGTGAACGTGATAGATTTGTGCTAAAAATAAACTTATTATGTGTTATAGAACAAGAGTGATAGATACGCTGAGAGATCACTGGACTCAGCTAGCTTACGGGTTGTATGTAGAAACAAGAGGTAGATTAAAAGCAAGTAAGGTTTTTTTATACAGCGCTCGTCATTTGATTTTTTTTTTTTTTTTTTTAATAACAAAATGTCGTGATCGTTTTTATTTCTTTAAAATTGCGTTTGTACAAATAGACTTTGTCATGCTTTGTAAAACACACTGATAAAGACAGTTCACCGGCCGCTGTCAAAACATGTATGAGTAAAAGTTAAAGTTCAAAGTGTCGTTTTTTTTTTCTCTCTCTCTAGCGGATCAACATTGAAAACAGGAAGGTTTTTTTTAAGATCCAAACTTTGAAAACATTTTCATGAGATTTGAAATATAAGCACATTGGGGTCTCATGATTTTTTCGCCGATCGTAGGTTACAGGTTGCATGCAGATACTGCACGAGGTAGATCGAAAGCAACATCAAAAGAAGGAGAAAAAGAAGAAGAAGAAAAAGAAGAATAGAAAAAAAAAAAAAAAAGCAAGAAAAAAGAAGAAAAGGAAGCAAGGCTAGTTCACTTTTTGTTTTCGTTATTTGAAATAATTTTCATCTCCATTACTGTGCCATGCAAGACGAAAAACTGTTTCCATATATGACCATCCTTCTCCCTAGTCCCCGGCTTTAAGGTTAAAGTAAACGACTATGTTTATCTCTAATGCGGTAATGTTATTTTAAATGTCCCTTCTTGTACATTTTTTCGTCGATATTTTATTCCTCTTGTTCTTGTTCTTTTTTCCTTTTTCTTCTTCTTATTTGCTCTTCTTCTGAAATGTAAAAAGTAACAATGTAATAATACTCAAGAGAATGAAATACAATTCGATATTTTTTTCAAAAGGGATATATATTAACCTCATAAATTTATTTAACATGTGCTCTTTTATATAGTGAGCACTGTTAAACCTCACCCCCAGAGTAGTAGAATCTAATTCTCATGATCATTCTCGAACGTTGGTCCATTCTAATTCAGGTGTAATCTTATTCCTATAGGGAATGGGGTGGAATGAAGGAGGGCAGCATACTTTTCTTCTTAGTCTTCTTCTCCATTGTCCTAACTTCTAATGAGCCCACAGACTCATTTTAGATACAGGTTTAGATTAACTTTGTTTATTAAGGAAGTTATCCATAGATACCATTAAATATATTAAACTGCACATTTTTTACGTCAAGCCTGGTTCACACTAAAGTCGGAATCGGAAGCAACATACGTAGACTCACTAGTGTTTTGATCATTAGCATTGCTTATTTTTTTTCACCCCTACTTAATAAATGTGGAACCGAATATGTGTCGTGTTGCTTATACGATTCCGACGCTACAGTTGAAAAAATTAAAGCAAGGACCGTGTTAGTCTCCTACGCAGCCGCTATTAGTACCGTGTACTAAAATGCTGCAATAAACTTGAAGTTGATTATTTTGAAATGATTTACTCTCAAAAAAGCCTTAACCTGCGCAAGTGAGTATGTGATCAAAAGAACTCTGTATATTTTCTGAATCAGAAAAAAAGACAACTTTTTCAGTTTTTAGACTCCCCTTTGCCATGGCCATCATTAGAGGTTCTCATCAAGTCTAAATTACGTACGATTTATTTGATTGGCTGTCTATTGCGCATTCCCTGTGGTTACTGTTGTCTCGATCAGCGCAATCACTATAATACAAATCTGTATTTTTTAAAGATTTGGAACCATTGTTGTGTCTTACTTCCACCACCACCAGCACCTATGCTTCCTTCCAACCCCTGTTCCTTCCTGTTCCCCCTGTGCCTCCTATGCCTTCAGTTTCATCCTGCCCTTTGTTTTCTGATCCTCTTGTTTCCCTGTACCTCCTGTGCCTCTCTCTTGTCCCCTACTGTCCCCTCCTGTCCTTTCTTTGTGTGCCTCTTGTTCTCTTGTCCCTCTTGTGCCTCCTATTCCCCCTGTCCTTCCTCTGCCTCTTTTTTCCCCCTGTCCTCCCTGTGCCAGTACTTCAGCTGCGCCAAATAGATAGGCGATATAAAGCAATAGGAAATATGTCATTCCAAGACCCAGAATAGCTGTTTCCCCCTGTCCATCATATGCCGTCTGTCCCCTCCTGTAATTTCTTCTTGTGCCTCTTGTTCCCCTGATCCTCCCGGGGCTCCCGTTCCCCTTGTCCCTCTTGTCCCTCCTGTCCCCCCTCTCTTTCCTGTGCCTCCTTTCCCCATGTTCTTCCTGTGCCAGTACCTCAGCTGCCGCAGAAATTACAACTCTTCATACAGTAACTTTCCATATATTTTCGCTTTGAACTGCACCATCCATGTTTTACCCAAGCGCTACAGTATATCAGCTGGTCTTTGCAGGAACCTGGAAGCAAACACAAAAAAGTTTTTTTCTTGTAGTGTTTGAGTCTTGAATCTAATGGGAAAGACCGGGGCTCGTCAGCAGTTCATTGTCTTACTTCATATTAATTTCAATTTCGTTGTCCTCAGTAGCCTTCGTTGCATATACCGCTAGTTTTGATGGAAACTGAGTCATTTACACCTGTAGGTTTAACCTCGTTTTTTGTTTTTTATTTTATGTTGGGTGGAAGGGGGCAGTAATAATTTGTTTGGGATTTAAAAACATTGATATATGTGTAAAGTTAACGTCTGCTAATTATTTGCTCTCAAACGAGACTAAACCTGTACAAATAAATTTGCAGTCATAGATAATAGAAAACGTGAAAATGACTATTTATCACTTGCACTCCCTTCTATCTAAGCAATGCTTCATTCTTCCTTGGCACGTAGGTGTCGCGACTATGTTTTTGGATATATTTATACAATATAGTTTTCATTATTCTTATTCTACTGGTAATACCATTGACCCGGACGTCATATTTTTATCACTCCAACCCCTTGGGAATGATTTCCTAACAATCGACTAACACATTATAAACCCCCTTTTGCATGTGATGTCAAAGCTCGATCTGGTGGACAAATCCAAAATAATTCCAATCTTCCTGAGAATTGAATCCTATTGTTTTGTTCCCCAGATTGAGCATCATTATAATGTGCTTCAAGGGGTCTATAGAAAATCTTATTTTGAAAACTTTCGGGGTGCATCTAATATCCACCTCCACCAGCGCCTCCTGTCGCTCCTCCGGTGCCTCCGATGCCTCCAGTACCATCTGTGCCAGTACCTATGCCACTGCAGAAGTTACAGCTCTTCCTACATGCACGTTCCATCAAAGATTGTTGTGACTTGCACCAACCAGCTTTTGCCCAAGTGTTACAGTACATGAGCTCGTCTTTACAGTCACCTGAAAACAAACACAAGACGTAAGGCGGCAAACATTATATCCATATTTTCTGATGGTGGTGACGGCGATGTTGATACATTATAGTGGGCACTACTATTCATTAAATGTACTTTTTATAGTTCACTCAACAAAATTTCTCGATTCTGATTGGACAAGAGGGGAACAATTAAATCCCAAATTGTACTCTTTAGAGTCCCAATTAAGTCGATCAATTTTATTGAGTGTATTATCAACAAAAAATCGCACAGTCTTCTTGTACAACTCAGAATTTATAAATACTCCCGATGTTTTGAAAGTTCTCAAATTGCATTTTTTTAGAAGCCAAGTAAACAACTCTTGTGGTTGATGTAGTGATGTCAAAATGCCTCACGACGGTGATAATAGACCTTACTTAAGATAATGAACAATATGGTCTAGCTTCAGTGTTATAAATCTTTTAAATGAAATATAAAATAATTTCAATTGGAATCCAGTGGAAGAAGAGCTAACTTGAGGAATCCACTGTTAATCCTATTTTTTATCTGTTTTATTTTTCAATTATTTATATTTGCCCACGTTACCTCCACCGACTCCTCCTCCACCACCACTACCACTGGCACATTTGTTGCAGGTCTTCTTGCAGTAGTATTTCATGACTTCAGGGTTCTTATAACACCATCCAGAGCCCCATAGTTGCATACACTTGAGTCTTGACCACCTGTCTACGCAAACTTCGGTCAAGAAGAAATTGTTAGACATACAAAATGTACAAGAACGACCACAGTTGTAGCGGCCTACAATACAATTATTGATAGCAACGACATTATAACAAAAGCGACATCACAACAAGCTGTAATGGACGTTACAAATAAGTGTACAATATAAGTAATTACCAGGTGTGGTAGGCTGAGGTGTGGTTGGTCGTGGAGTGGTAGGTTGCGATGTGGTAGGCCTAGGTGTGGTAGGTGGTAATGTGGTAGGTGGTGATGTGGTAGGTGGTGATGTGGTAGGTAGTGATGTGGTAGGTGGTGATGTGTTAGGTGGAGACGTGATAGGCTGTGGTATGGTAGGGTGTGGTGTTGTAACAACAGTCCCTCCACTTCCACCACCAGGACTATCGCAGTGGTAAAGAAAGTGTATCTTCTCAACGTCCATGACACTTGGGCCGTTTCTTTGTCCAATGCCGACCTATAAAATTATTTGAAAATTGGCACAGCGATTACCACTGTTTCCATTGCTACACAATGATCGAGAGAAAGATTACACAAGGGAAGCTAGGCAATACGGAAATCGTTTTTTTAACCATGCACAGACTCCTTTGCACAGGCTTAGCCTGGTTTATAAGTTAGCCATTCGTCACAGATACCATTATAAAATTCCGTGAGATCTCAAAGCATTGGTATTGTTCAATCTGCACATTCTTTACATTACATTTGATTTTTGAATGATTTGCTCTTTAACGAGCGCAATAGATCATTCACACCAAGGCTTAAACATGTTTTAAAGTGGCTTAACTAAACAGGTTTAAAATACTAGCTATCTACGAACACTGCACAATATTTGGTGAAATAATGCATGTAGACTATCCTTTGTCTTGCTCTGACAATATTTTGTAAAGTTTCATTATCTTGAAGGTTTCTAGTTTCTCAATTTTTTTCCCTAATGAAAACATAGTTTAACTAAACGTGTTTAGGTGTGAATGGGGTATAAGTCTGTGCATTAGATTATTTAGTCATAAAGCACATGTACAGCGCCAACACTTTTAAACACTCTTCTCTTTGCATTTGGGTCATAGAGGATCACTTGTTGTTGGGCTGGTTACTCGTTGAGATTAACTTGGAGCTAGCGTCCTCTCTTCTCAACCCCTTCTCCCTCCACTATAACACAGGGATCTCAAGCCACGAAAAAGTAAACAGAGAGAGCAAAATTTTAGTATGCTTACATTACTTGTTGCAGGAACGATTGTTGGTAGTCCATTCTTGGTGAATGCGTTTTTCTTATAATGCATAATACTTTGGTAGTCATAATCGAAATTTTCGATGTCAGCTACTCCTTTGGGATACTTGATGAACCTTCGTTTGGCATCTGCAAATAAGAAACAAATAGAATATAGTTAGTAAGTTGCCTCTTATATTTGGCGTCTCGGGCTTGATGCCTGAACACGGCATCTCATGTGAGGAGTAAAAGGTTCTTTTAAGGGTTTTGGAAAATGAAAGGGCAATTGTATTTTGTGTCAATCAGCCACATGAAGGCACTTTTTAGATATACCAACCTTACCATCTCTAATGTTGTTCCAATTGATTGTGACATAATTATCACGATCGTAGCGTGACTGCTCGGGATATAAACCAAGAGCAAGACCTTGAAAAAACGACAAAAATGAAAACAAAATAAGCAAACTGGGGAATAATCAGAAAATATGAACATGAACAAGAATGAATAAATAAAATTATAAAAAGTAAAAAGTAAGAGGAATCGGAGTTGAGGCCAAATAAAGTGCATGCTAAATTACACATTTTTCACGTAGCAAAAAACTGACCTGAGTCCAAACCGAAACGACGGTCTCTCTTGATATAAAATTAAAGCTAGACTATTTTTATTTCATTAACATGACTTGACATTTTATATTTTTAACATTTTACGAAAGAGACAAACGGACAGACAGATAATTCCTACCAATAACATGTGCTGTCTCTGCTGCCTGCCAACAGTGAGGTGCTAGTGAAATAAACTGCTTGTATCCAGATCGACCAATCTCTGAATAACAGCTACAAAAATTGATACATAGGAAAAAGTCACCAAGCATCACTCATAGCATTGGAAGGGGGTCGGTGGAGGGTAGGAATCGGCAGTAGAGTATGGATGGGCGGATGGGCGGATGGGTAGTTTATATTTTAAAAATAACTTAATCTAGAAAAATTAGTTAAAATATGGAAGGACGGACGTTGGATAGATTGAGGATTCAGGCATCATGAATGGTTGCATTAATAAATATTTAGTCAATGAAAGAAAGATTCACTTACTCTCCGCCCAAATAGAAATGGACATAAGCATCTTCATTGATCCTCTTCTCAAACTTGACACATGTTTTGTCACTCCACATATCCATCCCCTTCCTAATACCTTCCATGGCCACATCGTTCTTTTCTGTATCAAATTATTATTCGTTGTGAATTTTTATCAAAATATTTCATTGATTTCTATTTTATTTTTACAATGTTGCACTTTTTGTTAATCAAGTTCAATTTTTTTATCGAGTTTTACTTTATTTCTCGCTGTAGCACATCTATCGAACAAAATTAAAAGCATGGTTAATTTTCTCGGGTTAATTTTCTAGGGCACCGGTTTTTCAAATAAGCATACTTTGTCTTTGTGCACTAGAATACGTGTCATTCCCTTGATAATAAGATTCTTTGCTTGAGATTTACTCATATTCATGTGTCTTCTCGTGTGCAACTGGTAAAACAATGCAATACTCTTGATGATGACCCGTGTTCCATAATGGGAAAACATTGCGCCATTGCAAATTAGGCTACATTATTTACAATAATCAATTATATTGGTTTATGGGAGCAACAATCTATGATAATCAAAATTGTTCAGGTCACATAGACAGAAAATCATATTCGAGAACATTATTGAAATGACTTTTCGATGTACTTACTTAGATCATTATTGACTTCGTAGTATACTATACCATGAGGCCACGTTTGCGCTTTGTATTTTGGTGATTTCAGTTGAGGACGGATGCCATCTGAAATAAGGCAAATGTGTCGGGAATTTGGAAAAAAAAAAAAAAAAAAAAAAATGTGGGCTGATGTGATATATTTCGATAGCTTTGTAGCTAATCTCTTTCAATTCTTTCTTCTATTTTTTCCATTTTTTTTCTTTTCTCCCTGTTTCTTTTGCTCTTATTTTCGTTATTTCATTTTCTTCTTTTTTTAAGGTATGAACATTTCATGAATATTTATGCAATTCGAATGCACTCTTCTTCCTTTCATTCTCTCTCTCTCTCTCTCTCTCTCCTCAAGAATTTCTTTTCATATCATAAATTTCTTCAGTTATTGTATCTGCATTGTTTCTCTCTTGGTTTCATATTTCATTTCTTCTTTTCATATTTTCCTCAACCCCCCCCTCCCCCCCTTGGTTTTACGTTCTTTTTTAAATAGATATTTCTTTCAAACAATATATAGTGTGGTTCTAAATTTCCTATCATGAGCAGACATTTCTTGGAAAAGTCCACCTCTGCATTTTGCATGCAAAGAAATTACGGTTTCTATCTTCTTCCCTTTTTATTTTAATTACACATGATAATTTCTCCTCTCTTTTTTCTTCTTTCTTCCTTTCATACTTTTGTTACTTTTGTTCCCCTATTTGTTCCTTTATTGTCTGTACTCCCGCTATATTACATGTGTTTTCTTTTAAAACAAGGCATTATATGATTCCAACTTACCAAATTGGTGTCCTTGGACCACGAACGCCCAAAGAACAACAACCAGGAGTTTTTTCAGCATTCTAAGGCTCGTAGGACGTATCAATATCATATGATCAGATATCAACCCTTTATATACTCTGCTTATCATCCCCAGCCATTCTTTAATGATGAATTGTAGTTTACACAGATGCGAATGGGCAATTTATTATTTACAAACTTCGCAATGTCAACACACAACCACGTCAGAAAGAGAAAACAATCGTTTTCTATTAACTGATAATTATAGTCGACCTGCTCATAAAACCCGCTAAAATATAGTGAAAGATATTCTCAATGATTTAACAAGTCATGCCATAAAGGGTTAAAAAGCGAAAGGAGAAAACTGAGAAAAATAATTGCTTTTATTCTCCGTACGATAATTGTTTAAATACCTTTAGCTTTGTGATTTTAATTTAGAAAGCGAGTTTCATATTTTAATTTCATTTCGCGAATAAACGTCCACGACATTACCATTAAAGGGAATAATTATTTATGAATATATATTTAATTTGAAATTATATGTTTAATATGTAAAGTCAAAAACCTTAGAAACCTTTTTTTCCCCAGAAAGCCCTAATGACACGCAACCCGATATACAGCCATTTGCAAAAATTATGTCCGCTTCCAACATATATACAGGTATATCAAAAACATATCAAAGATTATGGGATATCATCCCTGATATTTTTTTCGGGTTGCGTATCAATAGGGTTTTCTGAAAAAAATAAGGTTTCTAAGGTTTTTGACTATACATATTAAACATATAATTTCAAATTAAATATATATTCAAATATATATATATATATATACATATAATACCAAATTAGACCATATTTGATGTCTTACAATCTAAACTTGATTGCGAGGCTTTATTAGTATGGTACTTCATGTGTGTGATACAAACGCGTGGATCACCAAATACATTTATTGGCTTATTTTATTCAATCATTCAAACCAAATCAAACATCAGTTAAAGTCATTAGATACCAAGCCTCACCACAGCCTTGACAGCTAGTTAAACATCGATTGATCGTCCAAGATTTCTAAGGTTTTTGTCTTTACATATTAAACATATAATTTTAAATTTTAAATTGGTTAATATTTTTAAAGTGCAGCTGAAATAACTGTTTGGGTCCTTCCCTTTTTTTAAGTTGTAAAATAATGATTAAAAAAAGGACTGAACCAACAGAGGTAAATATGTATCCAGCAGATTGACAAGCTAGTTCTATAAAATGTTAATTGCTTTCCAAGTACGTGCAGCATGTATACACCTGATTGCAACTACGTTGTCATGTAAAAATATAATATAACGAAATAGCAAATTGGAATTTCTCTTTTTTCGAGCAAAAGGGGTGTAATTATCTCACTTTTTTGAAGCATAGACTGACTTTTTACTATTACCTTGTTTTTATATTCACTAATAAAAACAATTATTTTCATCAATCAAAGGAGGTAGTGATCTATAGCCGAATCATAAGTTTTCTTTAAAAAATATTAATCTGGGATCTATGGATCTAGCTAGGGTTCTAACATCTAGGATCTAGGATCTAGGAGTGATCAAGGTATCTAGGGGTCTAGCTGAATCACAAGCTTTCTTTGAAAATATATTGTTCTGGGATTTGTGCATGTAGCTGAATCACATTTATTTTAACATCGATCTCCTGATCTAGCATCTAGGATCTGGGATTTGGAGTGATCTAGGAATCTAGCTGCATGAATCAAACGTTTTCTTTGAAAGACATCTAGCTGAATCTAGCTGAATCACTAGCTTTCTTTGAAAAACCACGTGACTCCCTTCCATGCTCAGAATTTTCCAATCACATGGCGAACATTCTACATGAGTTCTAAAATTCAGTCTATACGGAAAGTTACGGAAACACTTCTCACTGCTAACCTTTAGTTATAAGGATAGTCACCCTCATGCTTAACGAATTTCAAATCAGCTGGTGATATTCTACAACAGTTCTTAAATTCAGTCTATAAGCTATTCCGAGGTTAATTTAAAAAACAAAAATTGGGTGGGGTTAGCATTGCAGTGCATCGCGAGACACGTACTCTCAACCAATTAGTTGAAAGTTGATTCGATAGTTAATCTAATAGAGTAACACCTTACTACAATTCCCAGTCATACTAGACCGTCTTCATAAAACGAAAAATTAAGTTTTGGTTGACGTCGATTAAAAGGGTTTGTATCGTTTCTATTGATTTCCACACCAGTACGGACGTGAAGAATCACGTGAACACGTGCAAAGGTGTAAAACCGTTGCGCTTATCTCATATTTCTTGTCGCTGTGAATGTATAGCTCGTAAATCAAAAATGTCACATTGATTCCGGCTCCGAATTCAGTTCAAATGCTTGACTGCAAAGCTATGGGTATTGAGTATAAGTTGAGTGTATTCAAGATCAGGTAAGTCAGTAAAGATAGCTTTGCCGTCAAGCGCTTGAAAGTCGAAGTCGAAATCCGTGGACATTTTGAAAGAAACCCCTTTGAATGACGTCTACCAAAGCTCAATTTCAGTTGGTCTCGGGTGACTGGGAATCCCAGTAATGTTTTCTTGTTACAACGAGGTTGCTTTTTTTGATTCGGGGTCTACTTTTGTCTCCTAAAGCAGTCCCATAATGCATTCCATTTATGGCAGCTTGAACCAATAGACCAGTTTCGAATTCAAAATTACCGCTGTGTTCCTTGATTACAGACTCATCTACACAGGGTTAGCCTCGTATCAGTGTTTAAATATTCACAAATACCAACAGAAAAGTAAAGAATGCACAACTTCAACAATACAAACATTTTGAAACTCGACGGACCTTGACTGGAACACGTGAATATTCTGCACAAACTCGAGGCTAACCCTGTGCAAATGAGTCTGTAATCAAGAAACACAGCGGTAATTTGGAATTCGAAAGGGGTCTGTTCCCCCCTCGGTTAACATCGAGTGTGTTATAGTCTATCCAACTAATGGAAACATCCTGAGTGTATTGATAAAAACAGTATTAATTACTATCATAGCTATAAAAAACACGTTCATCCTTGGCAATAGTCCCGTTCCATTGCAGAAGTCTGTGTCACAGCAGTTAACTTCACATTCTACATTGTATTTCTTGCATTCATAACCCGAACACAGTTCTTTCTCCGTACATAATTTGACCATWGTCTTTTCGGGATTTCCCTTATCATCAGCATAACGAGTTGCTTTTAAGCAAAATTTCTCGGAGAAATTGCATTTTCGTTTGAACATATGTCTGTGGCAGTCTAGCCAGGATATGTTGGATAGACACTCGTAGCACCAAAGACAATTACCTGGAAAAGATTAAAGGTCAGAGATTAGTGTTTATCTGGAAAATATACAGGAGCATCAAAATGAATAAAAATAAAGGAAGTAAGCAAGTAAGAAATTTATTTATTCACGTAGACACACAGGACCTTACAATAAAATCTCGTTAGAACGTGCACGTGCCCGTGTGTTGATCAAAAATTTTTCTCCAGATCATCGTGACTAAACATTCAGAAAGAATCTTTCTCCAGAATGAGAGTAAGATTATGGAATCAAATCCCAGATCATATAAGGAAATTATCAAAACATAGCTTTAAAAAAGAAATTAGGTCATTACTGTTTAAGGACGGTGCCTACTAATTGAGAATCAATTTTTTTTTTAAATGACTATGTGAATTATTTTAACCTATCAAAGGGTTGTCAAATTCTGGTTAGAAAAGTAGGGGTCACCAGGCATTTAAAAAAAATAAGGCTTAAAAATCGTTAAAAAGTGATGACGTCATGATTTTACTAACACCAGGAAAAAAATTTTTTCTCAAAAGAATTTGAGAAATTTCTAATTTAAATCGTCCTAAATGACTGACACTTTGTTTCTTTACTAAAATATACCCAATTCTACCATGACTTTATTAGTTGGCTATAATATATATAATCTTTTAGCTTCGTGCTCCCTATTTTCGATCAGTAGGTACATAAAGATTGTGTCCATATTCTTTTTAAAACCAATTATTTTTTATAAATTTAATTTCACGAGGCTAATTTAGCATTTACTCTATCATTTAAACGAAGAAAAAATAGGGGTATCCAGGCGTTTTTAAGAAATACGAATTTTTAAAGAACATTATTAGGGATAAATCTTATGCCGAATGCGTGACAAGCGTTACACAGCAATCAAAACGGCGTGACAAACTCTGTCTTCGGCGCGTTTGCACGTCAAGCTAAACTTGCTGCTTCCTGCCATGCAATCAAAAAACACAGAGAAAAACTCGATGATATTTCCAGGGTTGAAGGGTTTGAAGTGAAGTTATTATTGACTTTTTACTTAACAGCAGAAAGGAATTTCTGAAATATTTGGTAMGTAATAASATGATTTTTTAGATTGAGAACTCCAAAGTAAAAGAATTTCATGATGAAAGTGTTTAGCGACCAAAAAAAAAGATTTTCAAAACTATAATTACACACCTAGATATTAATAAATGGTAAATTTTAAATTCCACATGTATTTCTTGTTTGTTTTTATTCAAGTTTTATAGGATTAAATCTAAAGAAACGGTAAAAAACTTTATTATTGAAAGGATTTGGATTTTTAGAACTATGAGTCTGTCATTTTTTCAAAACTTGCCCAAAAAACCTTATGATTTTTTGTCAATGATACTTAAACCTTAGCAAATTATCTGTTTAACAAGCCTGGGTTACTTACGATCGTTTTCTGCTTTAACTTTTATCGAAAATAAACGTTTTGTTTCGTGCAATTCGAGTAATAAATTTTGAAATTCCTCGAATGTAGATGCGCAGTACGTGTGCGCGTGGACAATAGTAGGCACCGTCCTTAAGAGTCTAGATTTAAATGATTATTATGTTGAAATTCCAATGATGTTTAATTCATAATTCTTGATACGACTTCTACTTCCGTTTGTGTTTGTGTTTCACAATTTTAGTTTAGTTTAGTTTAGTTTAGTTTATTCGTCACTATTTACAACCTGAGGTACAATATGTGATCTAATAAATTAAGTGAGCTAAATATAGTTATATAGAGATAAAAAGGAAATAATAGTGAAAAAGAGGTAGGTTATTATGATAAAACGTGACAGGAGGAGGATGCAGGACTTGAGTCCCAATTGACAACCTTCCGCTATTGTAGTAAAACTGAAAAAATACCAGGAAGTACTTCTTAGAATAATTTTGCATTATGAAAAAATTAGTATGAAATAGCAAGAGTGAAGAGGTCTAAAAGTCATAACCTTAAATATTTTATCAAAGAATACTGGACTAATTCATTATATAGTGAGAAATAAGGTTTTTGAATTTCTCCAAGGACATTGAACTTCTTAGAACTCTTTTGCGTTATAAAAAAAATCAAAAATAGTGAGAGAGGAATGGTCTAAAAGTTATAACATTACATATTTTATCAAAAATACTAGACTAATTGATTATATAATGAGTTACTGAGGTGGAAGATAGGATGAAATTTCATTTTATCCAATTGTCGTTTATATATTATAAGCTATAAATGTGTATCGATATTTATTATAAGTAACACTTAATCATATCTATTAATTGTAAATATTATTTTCCTTTTTTGGTCTTTATTTGCACCATAGTATTGTAATTATTGTAATTATTGTAATTATAGATGTTTGTCTTTCCTTTTAACCTGCCTAGAATAGCTTTAAGCTAATTGCAGGTAAAAGTGTAAATATTAGTGTATTAATTGAAAACAATAAAATGTCAAATGTCAATTATCAAACTCATGAATAATTCGTGAGGAAAACACAACAGAAATCACGACCGTGAAGAGTGTTGTAAATCTGATACAAGACTGTGTTCATTTGCAAAAACTTTAAGTTGGATTTTCTTGGCCAAATTCACTTTAATTTTGAAAATTTTAGTGAAACACAAAGGAACTAACCTAGATGTTTGATAAGTCATATACAGTATTCGTGTCCGTGTTGTATCAGATATACAATCACTCGGCTACGCCTCGTGGTTGTATATCTGATACAACACGGCCACTCATACTGTATATATTACATCGAGTCTCGGGTGTTGATCAAACAGACAACTCAAAGAACCACAGACAACCCGGCCAAATTTTGATCGGCTTCTTTTAGGAAAGTAACTTTGCTCTTTATAGGTTTTCTATAGTTAGTAGTTGCTTTCTGCTTTCTTTCTTTTTTTTTTTTTACCAGTCACAGTCTCACCTCTTCTGAGCATCATCGAGCTGCAGTTTGTGTTAAAAAAGCTTTGTATATACATATGCTTTTTTGATATGAAAAGTTTCCCGTGACGCTCAGTGATCTCAGCTTTCTAGGTTTTTGGTTACTAACTTTATTGAAATAAGTGTAAGCCTTTTTGGCTAACAAAAAACGTTGCGTTATGCGTTACTACTCATCTTGACCTTCAAGGGTCACGGCGCTTGAAATCGATTTGTTGCCTGAAGTTTTCACATGAAACACTTTATTTACACAGTGAACTAAGTGAATATTTGATTTGAAATAAGAAATAAGGAATGCTATTTGATTTGAATTCATTCTAACTGTGAATGTGATGTCTTTGAGCGCCTCTGTCCTGGTCTAACTGGGTCCCTCCAATTTTCTTTTCTTGATCTTTTTGTCAATACGTGTCGCCGTGATATTTCTAACTCAACCTTAACCGTAAACTCAGTTACTCTAATCTTTCTAAGGACGTTTGTTTGGTTCACGTCGATTACGCAATCGTTCTGACATTGTTATCAAGCCCGCTGACAAAGGCGGTGGAGTTGTTATTTGGCGTTCCGACCTGTTCGAACAGGAGGCTTTACGTCAACTCCCTGACACTAATTTTTATTGTGAAGTGAATTAGGATCTTACCCCTGACAATCAACAATTAGTTAAAGACACCGTTAACTCTTTAATTTCTGACGGCTCTTTACCTTCCACTGATAAAAACCTTTGTTATTACTCCTCGTACTTCTCACGTCTACTTTCTTCCTAAGATTCACAAAGCTAACAATCCTGGTCATCCTATTGTTTCTGCTTGCAGTTGTCCTACCGAATTCATCTCTAGCTATCTAGATTCTCTCATACTGCCTATTGTTCAGTCGTTACCTACTTATAATAAGGATGCTAATCACGCTCTTAGTATTTTTAAGGATTTTCGCTTTCCTGATAACACTTCTAAGCTTTTGTTTACTATGGATGCAAATCCTTGTATACTGTTATTCCTAAGTGATGAGGGCCTTCGTACCCTTCATCATTTTTTCGATCTGCGTCCTATCCTCGAGCCTAGTACTCCCACTTTGTTACGCTTTGCTGAAATTGTTCTTACTCTTAAAGTGTATATGACACGAAAACATTCCATCATTTAAAATGTATAGTTTGTTAGTAATAATAAATATATCGTAACAAAATTTGTTTCAAAAGCTTATTTCTTGAGATATTTGCGAAAGTTAATCCCAATTTGTGACGTCATTTTGTTGACACGTACTCTAGATTCAGTAGTAATGTACTAAATATAAATTGTAATTCATATGAATTAGCAACAAAAGACATATTTTAGTCAGCTTCATTTGATAGCTTACGTAGTACTCTTCCAATGTTGGGAAACTGAAAAGTGTACTACTTGAAATTAAGATTCTATATTCAAACATATTTCATGTATTTGCAACTAAATCTGGAGACTTATAAACAAAATGACGTCACAACTCGTGCTAAAATTTTTTGAATTTCTAGAGAAATGAGTTTTTGGAACAAATTTAACCGTGATATTCTTATTAATGCCAATAAACTACACATTCTTAACATTAAAATTTTTTCGTCTCATATACACTTTAATTGTTTTTCTTTCGGTGATCGGTATTATCGGCAATCCTGAAGCACTTGAATGCTAGGCTAAGCGTGTATGAATGTATTGTTCAAACCAAAATGGCTAAGAGCTATGGTGTGACTGATATTTACATACACTTGACGTCAACGTTGTCCAACCATAAATACATTTACACCAAAAGAAATGTCACGTGATACCTCATACATTCGCTCTAAATCCTCGATACCAGCAATCATTATGTTATATTCTAGCCTTGTTTATTGTTTCTCTTAAAGTTGAACAACAGAAGCATGCTGTATCCTTGAAAACCAAACAGAAAGAAATAATAATAATCTCGTGATTTTTCGCTTGGTATTTAAGTCTTTCTTCATAGGCCAACCTCAATTGTTTTCACAGTGGTTGAATCTCAGCTGAATATACACCTACTAGCAAAAACGTTGTCATACGATATTAGGACATTAGTAATTTAGTGAGAAAGGAATAAATTAAAAGACAAAAGAAAACTTTCAGCTTTAGTGACCTTCTTTTGTTTTTTTAAATATAATTCCTATCCCACTAAATCACTAATGTTCTATTTTCGTATGTCAACGTTCTTGCAAGTAGGTGTATATATACAAAATAAAAGTATTCTATTCACATACTCCGAATACCGTACTTACGGCCTTAGCAGGCTTGAAGTGGAATGACTGATATGCCAGTTATCAGTTATCATACATTTATTCCATGCAGTGAGACCATTGAGAATAAAGAAACATTTGCGATAAATTTCTGGGTTCTGTTTTGGATATATTTTTATACAGAAACAAATCAATTCTCATCAACGTTTTTGTGATTTGTTTGGGTATTAAGGCAGTAATACATTGTTTAACCATCACATTTAGATCCTTAGTTTGTAAAAGGATTTTTTCCTATATTTAGACCCTTGGCATTCTAAAACTACTAGTAATTAAACAAACTTTCAGTTCCCTAACATTAATACCTAAAACTTATATTAATTAAACAATTTGACTTTATTAAAATTTTTTATGAAAGAAAACATCTTAAAAAATAATAAATAAATAAAAATAAAAAAACTGCGTAACATCTTTCCAAATGACCTTGGATTCGGTTTCATAATCATTTCCCAATCCAATAAATACGATTTATACAAATTGAGGCACTGTTTTTAAAACCTTTCGCCAATTAATTCGTCTTTACAATAAGCTTTTAACCTAAAGATTAGCTGACCACTTGCATTTTTGAAAGCTCTATTTTCTAACCTTTAAAAATTTCAAGACACGCTCTTTAAAATAACATCAAAGAGCTTGAGCCTGATACGAAGTTCAAATTTCAACTGATAGATCAAATGCAAATTTTGAATTCATAATATATTTTTCATTTCATTATGCTTTAGCTTATGTGTGTGTGTGTTTTGTTTTGTTTTTTGTTTTTTGTTTTCACTCTGGAAGATGAACTATCAATAAAGTTAACGATATTTATACAAATGTGTAGATAAACGACAAATGCAGAGCTTGAAATACAAATTGTCATTATTATTTTACCCTGAATTGCTATTTTTTTCTTAGTTTCAATTAGCCTTTCTGTGTCTAGTCTTTCTAGTCGCTCTTCTTTCGTTGGTGGTTTCGCTGTTGACGTTTCATATCATTTGTCTTATTTTTTTTGCCCCTTGAAAGATATTTCAAAAGATTTCTTTTTTTGTTTTTTGTTTGTTTGCTTTTTTTGTTTTTTTGTTTTTTTT